TATATATATATATATATAATGAAAGTAACTCAGACTAGAGACAAAAAAAGATGTCCATAACTTTTCGAAAGTAATAAAAAATCAGTCGGTGTTCTATAAAATGGTCCTATTGTTGAATGTATCAGAAAAATGGATCATTCGATTTCATATTATTAGAACGCTTGCATTGTTAAAAAATGTGAAATCGATCATTGTATTGATACACACAGAAGTCTTGTGCGTGCGAACATTTAACCGTTTAAAGCATGTGTACATATATTCTTTCACAAATACTAGTTATCTATCTGATGACAGTTCAGATAAAAGTGCATTGTCGTTACTTTATATGTTTCCCTTCTACCCTCCTATAGATCATTAATACACATGATAATTTTTTTACAGAAAATTTTTTTCGTTCGTTAGTTCTAACCCAATTGCAACAACTTCAATTTTTGAATATTATATCGCTCATTTGCTGCAATAATGATATAATTAAAAAAACAATTTTTCAAAAAATTAATTTGAATGTTTTAAATGTAATTAAAATTTTATAACATTAATTTTAAAATTCATCATAATTTTGGTGTAATAATTGATTCTGGAGAAATAAAAGTATATTCTTCTCTTTCTTTACATTCCGGTTTTTTGTAAGTCAAAACAATTTTTGAATAATATCGTTGTTATAGCAAATGAGTGCAATGCGACATTGATAGAAATAATGTTATGATAGAAATAATGTACAAAAACTAGCGTTATCAGCGGAAAACCGGGATGAAAAACATTCCATATGTTTCAAAAGGTTATCATGCCGACTACTTTAAAGCTAATTTTAACGTTCCTTAAAAGTTATCAATAATTCACTCGAGAATATTTCTAATGTCCTCCCCAGTCGCCGCCGCCAAATCCACCTCCACCTCCATGGCTTAGTTCTAGGTGGCCTCCACCGCCACCACCTCCGAAATCATGACCACCGCCGCCACCTCCGAAATCGTGACCACCATCGCCGCCTCCGTCGTGACCTCCAAGGGAAATGGGATGACCATAGGTGTATCCGAGTACTTCATAACTATCGCCGCCGCCGCCGCCGCCATGATGTATGTGTTTCGTGATTGTGTGCGTGTGTTGGATCTTCTTGATATGGTACGGCACGTGGATTACCACGTGACTACTGTAAAAAGGACGCGGGCAATATTAAAGCTTCTGATTAGCTTTTAAAGATGGAAATTGCGCAATTAATTTTATCGTTGCGATAAAATTATATTTAAATGTTCTATTTTTTTTTCGATATGGTGAGCTTGATTTAAACTTACTGTTCGTGTCCGTGTCCACCGGCGTTGGTTAAGTTAAATAATGCGGCGACGGAGAGAAGAATTAACTGAAAATAATATCGTTTAAGATTGTTAATAAAACTATACATATAGAATCAATTCTATTTCTCTAATTTAAACTATTATCAAAAAGTAGAAACTAGACCGTTTGCAAAATCAGCAGTAATATCGTCGCTTCCTTATTTCAAATATGATTACTAAAAACGTAATTTTTCAAGTAAATACTTACTATCCTTTGAAATTCGACATTTTCAGACATTCAAATTTGATGATATCAAGATCTTCTAAAAAACCGAGTTTCGTGTAAAATTATGTTGTTGAAATCTATATTTTGAAGCCAGAATTAAATTAAAAAATTAAAAAAAAGCATAAATGACATTTTCTTTAAGTTTCATTCTTAGAAAGCTCTTGTCCTCAAAGAATTATTGTGTTGTAAAACGAAAATAATCTTTTCTAAAGGAAACTTAATTTTTTTTAGTCGTGTTGTTTTTTTGAAATAAGAAATTGATGTAAGAAAAATGTGTAATATTAAATAATATAATAATTTGACTCTGCAACTTCGAATAACGACTAATTTTCCACGGAAGATATACCGAACAATAATTAATAAAATAGAAAATCGAAACGAGCCAAAATTGTGCACAAAAATATAATAATAAATATAAAAATGATATATTTCTGGAAATGTTACCTTTTGAAAAATATCTAATATCTTTAAAAATATCTAAAAATATCTAAAAGTCAAATATCATTTACAATATTTTTAATTATAAATCACAAATCACAAAGCTAATACTTTTTACATTACTCTCTTTGATTAAATAATCCTTGGAGAAATAATGATCCTTTCGATATATTAACTCCAAAAATTTGAATTATCACTGTTTCACTTCCGTCACGGTCGAAAATGCGGTAAAAGCAATTCATCTCGAGACTTACCAAGAAGACTGGTATTATTTCTCGTTGTCCTATCATCGTTCCGTTTTCGGATCTAGGACTATCGAGAAAAATATCGCTTCCGTCACAATAGGGAGACAAAAATGAAGCGAAAACTATGAAAAAGCTGTGAATAATTAACGAGGGAACACAACAACTCGAGTTACTCCTCCGCTCGGTCTCGTTCTGACAACCATCGCGAATACGCGTTTCGCTTATATATATACGCACGTGATAGAAGTCGAATAAGAATGAAAGGGAGTATTTTGCTACCCGTGCGCCGCACTCGTGAAAGGAATCACTAATAGACTTCTTATGGCAAAAAGTCACCCGATCGCGGCGTAATAGAGGGGGACAAGCGCCGGTGGCTTTGCCTTCCTCCCTCGCTACGCTCACTGCCTTTGTATGTTCCTGTTCCTCGTTTTCGATATTTGTAACAGTGAGCTGCTCCTTCTCCCAACGAAAGGCAGACGTTAAGTGAACGTCCAAGATCAAGATCGCGATTGTGCCTCGCGTACGCGGGCGGATGGACGCGTCTTCGTTCGTTTTACTAATTTAACGCGTCCTCACGCGAGAGAAAGAATAATCTTATCCTTTCATCCTGACTTGAAGGTATCCTTCGTGATTTAGAAGAAATTTCTCTCTTTTTATCTTTTCGTATTATTTTGAATCAAACAATGTTATTAATTATCATTATTCTATTATTCATTATTTCTATTATTCTATTATTTCATTACATAAAGCTGTCCGAATATATTGAGATTCAGCATAAGAATTTGTTATAAGATTGCAAATATTTATATACTCGCGTATTATATATTTTTTATTATATATTCTAAAGTCTAACGTCACTTCTTTGCTTTAAAAATGACACAAGTAAACAGATTAATTTTTCTAGAAAAAAGGGAATAGTATTTTTTTTAATAAAAAATTATTAACTGATCAAATAATATCGTGGCAAAAAGAATATATTCTTAAAGTAATCAACTGTCATTTTTGTTTCACAATTCTTAAAAACAATTTTTTTAAATAATGTTTACTTTACTCATTCATGACAATAATTTATAAATCATATTTTGAATTGTGTCACTTTTAGGGAGAGATGTATTATAAATTCGAATATATAACATTTCTTATTCGAAATATTTGAAAAATGAGATTATTGAACGTATTCAAAATTACAAGATAAAAATTTTCCTTTACGATATAAAATTTCTTTTCGCAAATATTTATTATATATATATATATA